AAGGACATGGTGAATCGAGTGGCAGAAATTAAAACTGCAAGCGGTGTGGTGAGGCGTTCGTTTTCCAAGATCTGTCCGCTTCCCATCGACGATAAATCTAGTATTGAAGACAGCCTATGATGCTTCAAGGCGGGGGGCATGTTGAGAATTCACTCTCTTTACTCGACATTCCCCTACTACGACTCTGTGCTAAGACGCAGAATAGAGAAGAGAGAGATGGCGAGTATCGGCGCCAAGAGGGCGCGGTAGTTGGTGCCTGGCACCACCTCTACGAAGAAAGTAGGTCAAGCTTCAAAGGGCAGAAGCTAGACGAACGTCGAAAGAAGAACAGCGCTTCGTTTTCTAATGCATTTTTATTTCTTTGATTTTCTCGAGTTCGTCAAAATTTGTGTAATTGTTTCATTTCCTTAATATTGTAAGAATAAAGTTTATTTTTGGAGTTTAATTATTTTGGATTTGATAACCAACAAATAAGGAAAACAAAATATACAGTCCACTGGTGTGTTATCGAAAAACAAGTCAAAACATCCCTTCAAGTTCAAAAATGTTGTCAAATGATAGTTTATGAAAAGCTAAGAATTGTAAGATCGGTTTTCCTCTAAAATTAATTGTTTAGGTTTTACAGCCTGTCAAAGTAGCAAAAAAGTCAATTTTCAACTGTCAATATTTCTAAAACAGTTGAACTTAGGGACTAAAATTTAGTACCAAAATGTATGGAATTAAAAACCCTGCGAACTGATGTATCACTTGACCCCCCTTCCAATTTAAATTTTTTTAGGGGGTGGCTCTGAGGGCTGGGGGGTTGAAAGGGGGGAGGTGAATTTTACATAAAAACTCATCCCCCCTCAAATTACAGTTGACGTGTTTCAGGGATTTTTTCGAAAATTTCTCTATAATAGGGGTGGGAAGTTTTCAAATTGACACCCTGTATAAACGGTACCTTACTATTCTGCATACCTGCAAAATCCACTGGCATGTTTCAAAATTCGGCATTGTCAAAGGATAACGCACACCTAACATGGGATTTTTGGGCTCTGTGGATTTTGCCCATTTTTTGATATGTTGTAGATGATTTAATTCTGAACAACCTTTAAATGGGACAAATTCTTGTAGGTATTACGGTCTTTGAGATATGAGCGTTGAAAGATGAACTTTTTGCGACTTTTTGTGTGGAGAGTATACGAGATACTGGTGCTACTGGTGTTTATCAGTCAAAATATTGACAGGTTCACATATTTTACGTCACTAACAAATTAATGTCAACATAGGTTAAAGCCGAGACCGCAATGGGGTTAATGTTGATGCCAGTGCGGTTCCGGCCTTAGCCTATGTTGACATTTGTTAGTGACGTGAAATATGTCCATGGTCGGCGCACTCATATTACCGCTTTGAGCCAGCTTTTTTAGTTCACTCGTGACCGCTGATGGCTCTGCTGGTCTTATAAAACTGAGGTTATGAAAGTGAAAATGAAACAAATACCGAATGTTCTGTGTACCGAATCCTTTATCGGAAATGTCATTGTCATTTGGCTTTGCCATATTTCAAAATTTAAATTTAAATTGTCTTTTGATTGTGTTTATTCTTGTGAAAAACTAGGGACTCGACAAACATCTGCAGTCTGCAAACAGTGGCGACGATGAATAGAGGCCCCGCCGCCATATTTTTGAAATTTCAAATATGAATACATAGGAATTATTGGATATAAATGGATATCTTTCATCAAAATTTGGAGGTAACGTATTTCTCTGACTAAAATTCAAATACGTTATTTTTAATTTTTTATAATAGACATGGATATATCCGAAAGGCATTCAGCCATCTATATCCTATTATTCATATCAAAAATTTGCAAGAATATGGCAGCGAGACCTCCATTGTCGCCATTGTTTGAAGAGGGTTGTCCAGTTACTAAAAAAATTACAGGAAACTATCAATAACAAAGTGCTATCTCTCGGAGAATGACCGAACTAGTATTTATAGTTCACTCTCAGTCGGCAGAGGGCGCTAAAATACGACATGATATGTTAACATTGGAGAGTCCAGTCTATTTACCCCCTATATATATTAGTCTATGAATATGTCGAACTGTCAATATTTTGACTGATAAACGCCAGTTTTTCGTATACTCTCCACACAAAAAGTCGCAAAAAAGTTCATCTTTCGCCGCTCATATCTCAAAGACCGTAATACCTACAAGATTTCGTCCCATTTAAAGGTTGTTAAGAATTAAATCCTCTACAACATATCAAAAATGGGCAAAATCCATAGAGCCCAAAAATCCCATGTTAGGTGTGCGTTATCCTTTATTTCATATTTGAAATGCCCAAAATAATTTATCAAGAGAAAATAAAGGAAATAATAAAACGTTACCGCTATTTCGAGAAAAGCAAACCAGATGTTCTTCGGGGAATAATAATTGAAGCCCAACTAACAGATATACTTGGTGTAGGTATAGTTTAAATATAGATGTAAAGCCATTTCTTACAACCAGCAACCAATATTTTTGTTGGACCAAACCCGAAAAAAAAGTTACTGCGATTATTCCACTCATGTGTTAGAAATCCCATAAGACAAGTGACGGATTTTCAGAATTACAGCGAAAATTCTCTTCTCCATTTGTTTAACTAGAGAGAATTACAGCGATAATTCTCCCATGTTATTTTATACATGGTTGTCATGTTAATTTTTAATACAAACAAACGGTTCCTGATAGCAACCATTTATTTGTATTGTTAAGATGTTCAAATCGTCTAATACATATTTATTTCCATATTTTTTGCATTCTCATACGTGAAATAATCCTCTAAATACCACTTGAGCTTTAAAATGAACCAGATAATTTTTCACTCATGTGTGTTTTCTCTGCAAATTTCACTCGTCCTATGGACTCGTGAAATTATAGAAAACACGCAATCGTGAAAAATTATCGGTAATTTTGAAGCTCTCGTGGTATTATCCCCGAAAACATATTTATGCTGTTAAGCTTATTGTTATGGTTACGTTGGATTTATTTTATTTTATCCCATTTTGACGTTTAAAAATGACAATATTGAACGCATGACAATAAAGGTAAGTAGACGTTTATCACCTCAGTGATTTAAAAACATTTTAACTCACTCTCGGCATTTTTCCTTGTACTTTATTTTTTAAATTTCCACAAAACGGGATAAAATTTTGTATACATCACATGAGTTACAATGTTTATTCATTCGAAGAAAATTAACCCACTCGCTAGGGCTCGTGGGTTAAACTTTCTACTCATGAATAAAAATTCATTTAACTCACTTGGTGTATAAATAACTATTAAATAAATTAAATAATTTTACTAAGTAAACTATCTACTTTTTTGTTTAAATTAATTTGAAAAAATATTTTGGAAACATGTTCGACACAGAGGCTGGGTACCAGATCTACATTCACTTTTTGCCGATTTTTTGTTTTTTTGATAGGCACACACATTGATTATTTTCATTGTTATTATTTGATTTTAGTTGTATATTTTATTGGCGATTATTTTTTAAGAAAAGAATATCATGGGGGGGGGGTTTGAACCCCCTAAACCCCCCCCCCCCTTATATACGGCCCTGTCCAGCTTTATACGTTTGAAACCAATGTCAAGAGCTATTTGACCTTGAAAAAAATCATAACTTCATGTAGAAAGGGATGGACCTATTCTTGTTTTTGCCGATTCTACAAATTGTTCTACTTACTGTTTGGCGAGTGTCCATCTTGTGTTGTTTAGTTTTATTTTATATTGGATCACTACTATTGTAAAACCAAATTTGGTTTAAGATTTTATTTTTATTGTATTATATAGCAAATTATACTTTTTTTTTTAAAAAAATTTAACTTGACCTGGCCCCTTGTCGTTGAAGAAAAAAATCTGGAAACACCAATTAAATGTGAACATAATTTATTGACAAATATAGACGACAAATGTACAAAATAAAATTTATTTACACCTAATATGAATAAGTAATTATTATTAAAAACATAAAATTAACCTACAAAATCTAGTATAAATTAAAACAATTTGTACAAAAAATAAATTATTTACATTTACAATAAGTGGCAGTTCATAAACTTATAAAATTTATATTGTACAATACATTTATGGTAATATTAATACTTGTTTCGTTTCAATGACTTTAGAACACCTTCAAAAAATTGCACAATTTCAACTTTTTGAAACGGGTACAACAGGACAAGAGTTCAATAGAACACTATTGAGTTCATCCATTTCGGACCAGTCTTTTGGATCGTTTTCTATCTTCAAATTTCGAATGCAACCTTTGAAGTTTTCTCGGGTTTTCAACGTACCAACTGCAGCATTATCTGGAAAGATTCGGAATAACATTCGGTAATTTTTTGAGACAACAGATTTTTACCTGGTAGTCCTCCAACATAAAGAGGTGCATCAATTTCATCCATAAGCGAATTCACGTCGCTTTGCACCCAACTCTTTCTGATCCCATCCACATTAACGGTTAGCTCAGAACTGGAGTACATGGCAGTCACGTTATGCCACATATTGTCGCATAGAGCAAAATCTGAATCTAAATTATTGGTGACGTTTGTTTGGACACCATTTCCTAAATCCACAGTCATCACAACAGCTCCATTTTGTAGTTCTATGGACAGGGCTGGATAGTTGCCTTCATTTGAAACTGTGAGGAGTATACCGTTCTGTTCCGCAGTGCGGAATTCGAAACTTAGGTCCAGAATTGAGTTGATTCGAAAGCCTTCTCCTAGAATTAAACAAAAAAAAAGAGTTCCTCTAATAGAAATGTCTAGCTCTCAGAAATGCCAGATGCATGAATCAAACTAGAGCTAAAAGTTTGTGAGACAAGCTCTTCTTGTCCTCTAATAACAAGCCAAAACAAGTCTCTCATAATAGAAATTCTGGATATTAAAGATGCCAATAGCAAAAATTATTTCTTACTGTAAATCGCATAAGCGTCACCGCCAAAATAAGCTCCTTCTTCTATTTTAGGAAAACACTGCCTAATATTGCTATAGGACACATCATTTGTATTTTTTCCTAGAAGTTTAGAGTCTTCGTTTATTTGTAAATTATTGATGCAACCTCTGAACGGCTGAAGTCTATCGTTCTGAAAATAATTAAATTTTCAAGAGTTCAATTAGCAAATAAGAAACTTACCAATTCTTTAGAAGTGACATAATCTTTAGGAACACTTCCAAAATAAATTTCTTCCTTAAGGCCGATTTTGGGCAATCTGACAGGTTTTTTTGTCTCATTATCCAACGACATTATCAGTTTTTTGCCATTTTTTTTCACTATCCTTATGCTATGCCATTGCCCATCGTTTACTTTCTTTGTAAACATCAATGGCCACTTCTTAGGTATTTTTCGTTTGTTTTTAACATGGTAAGTCAGCTTACCATCTTTTATTTCCAAATAGGTATAGGGTGGAATTGAGGAGCTTCCCTAAAAATTCAAACGAAGCCAATACAAAATTTGTATAAACATATTGCTGAGTATGTACTTACAACAGAAATGAAAAGCATTCCATTCGGGTACAAAGTCCTAAAATCAAATTCAAACTTGAAGTCTTTTTTCCAAAATGACGTTTGGATTTTGATAAAACTATCAGGCTGATCTCCAAAGTTCACCGCTGTGGGATCTGTTATATAGTTGGCTGTAGTGGAACATCCTTGAGTGTTCTGCATTGTATTGGTCATGTTGATAAAAATTGGATTGTAAGATTTTAGAGTTATTGAGGGCCTGACGAGAGGATTTTCGCGTCCTATTTCTACATTGGAAAATTCTTTGACCGTGTTGAAGTTAAATAAGAGTTTTCTAAAGGAAAAACAATTTTAGAAAACAAAATCTACAAAGTACAAGTAAAGTCTTACTCATTGTTTAAACTAATATCGCTAATGCCTCCATAAAACGAATCAAATCCGTCGATGCTCCCTATAACGATATCGACCAAATTCTCCTTGAAAATACTGCCAGTCTGTTTTCTGTAAATGATTTCGTCTTCTTCATTAACCGATAGGCTAATAAGATCAGTTTTAAACGTCAAAGATACAACATTATAGTCGTTGATGTTGAGGGCCATTCTTTTATCTGCCAGATAATGTTCACCGTTGATTAGGTTGATTTGAAGAAGACGATTGGATAGAGTGAGCTGGAAAAAGAATAATAAGAGTTTTTTTGCTCTTCTTATGTTTCCAAAAGATGCGGCAAAAATTCAAGAGGTGATTCCTGTGATATTCTTATGAAAAAATGTTCATATTATGAACATTTGTCTAAAAATGCTAGGTACTAGGGAGCTAGCCCTTTCCTATATATTTCTGAAACCGTTCATAATGGAAAAATATGAAATTTGATACCTATTAATACAAACTTCTGATGTTGAATCAGAATCTGAGTTCTCTTTGTTCGGACTTAGGAGTTCAATAGTTAACGTTCATCGATGCATGCATCGATATGAACCAGAATAAGTATCCTTTCCACGTGAAAATTTTCCAGGTACCTATCATATTCTAGAATCAAAATGTAAAAAAAAATACCAATAAAATGCGAGGTGGCTCCGTTTAGGAAGAATTTTAGGACAAATGTTTAAATTTTTCATAAAAATACCTCAGCAATCATTTTTTGAAATATATATCTATGAGAAATCTTATTTTTAGTTTGAATAAAATAAAAAGAGGCGATATTATGATGTCTCTATCACTTTGATTAAGGATTGTGTCCTTCAAGTTTGAGCATTATTCCAGCAAAGGAATGGTCCCTTTTAAAAGTTTTCGATTTGATTGATTATAATTTGAGCGGGAAATGAACAGATCACTCAGATTTTTTCTATGAATTCCATGACTTCAATAGTGTTCAACACTCCTGTGATTATACAATATGGTGCTTGTCGATTTGTTTCGTTATTTATTACATGTCAATCTACTGTTATTATCCATTCACAATCCACAGGTAAAGGTAAAATTTATCACCTTTCAGTGCTATTTGATAGGGAAAGGTGATAAATTTACCTTTACCTTTGGACTACGGATTGTGAATAGGATATAGTTTAAGCACAGCATGTTTAAGTCTCTGGTTTAAGTTCTCGCAGCAAAATCGAAAATTTGTGTGTTCAGGATGGTTGAAAGTGTTCAAGAATATACTAAAGCATAGGTAGCTCTTGTAGAAAAGAAACGAAATCAACCTTTGAGGCAGCTAAAAATCACCACCCTCCAAATGGTACTTCTACTACTACTTCAATCAACATTTGACAGGAAGACTGCCATTGTGCCATTGATGGATTCCTTGTTCTTGATTAACTTCTGATTCAAACATAAATTAACTTCGTATAGTAGGAATTACGCGTGAACTTTTCGACTGCAATGGAGTTTATTTCTCTAAATAAACGAGTTAGTGCAGTTAATTGAGAATACAATAGGGATCCACCTACCAATTTTGAGGTAAGAAGCTGAAAATAGTTGTTCCAAAAGTCCCAATCAATGTAACCAGGGCTTCTTTAGTTATTGCCGGCCAAAGGTCACAGAAATCGGTTTTCAGGATTATCACGATTCCTACCCACATAACAAAATTGCATCCTTAGAATGTATTAAGAATGTTCTTTTTTTAGGAGGAATGTTCCTAGAATGTTCGCCAAAACCATTGCGAATGTCCTGAGAATGTTCTGAGAAAAGATTGTAGAAATACTGTTTGCAATACCCAAGAACTTCCTGAGAAATCCATTAGGATATTCCTATGAGATTCTCAGTACATCCTGAAAAGAATATTCTTGTTTGATTCTAAAAATATGCTCGATATGTATAGGTATTTTCACATTCAAAGAAATGTTTCTATGACATTATAGTTATGTTCTCAAAAGAATATTATACCAATATGCTTGAAATATTCTTGGAATATATCATTCTCAATATGCATCCTAGATATAACATTCTTGATTGATTCTAAGGATATACTTGGAATGTTAATTTTCGCTTCCAAATAATGCTCCTTTAAGCCCTTTTATATTAAAGGCAGTGAAACAGTTGTTAGAAAACTTCTCTGGAAAACACAAGCATTTAACCAAAGCTCCGGTTTCGACTGTTTCGAGCTTGTTATGCTCTCGTCGAAGCACGCCAACTGAGAGAAACAGGTTCCAAGGTGATTCAAACGCGAGGTAAGATGTAGATCTTTAATAGCGCGTGGCTCCCTCTCTTGGAAGTCCTACAAAGCAAAAGGAAAAGAATATCCTACCTATAATATTCTTAGTAGGTTCTAGATAGAGCATTATTGTTTAATTGTTAAATTATGATTTTTGAGTAGGTACTTCAGATAATTATGTGAACAATATGAAAATATTCTTATCATGGTTACCTACCTACATAAACTTCTCAGCACAACTTGGTTGGTATATTCTTAATACTTGATAGAGATATTAGCCGAAAGAACATTTTTTAGGGTACATTATAATAATGTTCGCTTGACAATATTCAAAGATTGTTATACAAAGTAGGTTCTTAGCACAATCTTTCAGGTAGGTGCATAGAAGCAACATTCCTAGTACATAAATAGAACGTCCAAAAATGAATATTTCAATCGAAACAATCTTAGAATATTCATTAAACATTCCTAAAAGAACATTCCAAAAAGCACTTTGAGGGAATATTCTGAGAATATGAATGTTCTTTCACTGTTATGTGGGTATAGCTCCAACGATATTAACACCTATTACAAAAGTTAGAGATAACAAAATTCCTAAGCACTTTTGTTTGAAACTTTTTTTATAAATTGAACCGTTCTTGAAATAGAGCGCGAAGAGTGGTAAGCTCTATGCTCCAGATTTTGACCTATAAATTGAAGGGATCTAACGGTGAATTTTTGCGTACACGTTGTTGTTACGGGTCTTAATAATTGGTGAAGGTTTCCCATCGATTCGGTGATTATTTCAGCCCTTACGGAGGGTCAAAGGTCAGGAATGAGTTTATCAATATCTCGAAAAGGATCAACTTTTTTAAAAATTTCTAGATCATTAAATTTGCTCCAAATTTGGTCTTAGGTACATTGCTCTACAATTAACCGTTCTTGAGATACAGCGCAAAATTTAAACAAAGATAAGGGGACATTCTCGAAATGAGAGATATCAAGCTGTAAACCCGTACACACATTCATTTGGCTTTTCTTGAAATCGACCCAAAAGTCTAATAAAATCACGTGTGCGTGTCAAGATATGTCAGGTCAAAGGTCACAAAAAGCGATTATCTCGGTTTGTATAGGTCCAATGATTTTAACACATATTATAAAAATTGTAGTTCACTAGTTAATATATTGTATTTAATAACACTTTACATAAGGTATCTAAATATCTGAATGTATTCGTTGACTAGAACTCGGCGGACTTACAGCTTAAAAAATTATGGCTGATTTCTGATTTGTGTTTTATTTGTCACAAGCCACTTTCAGAAGGCGAATCTGTTAATGTAGTGCATGGTTCAAAAACTTTAAAAACTGCAAGTGTCGAAAGAAATGACGGTCACATGGATTTCTTGAATACTTTGACCTCTGTGAATATGCATGTTAGAGTGTCGAGAAGTGTACACCAGTAAAAACTGCATAGAAGCATCTAAACGACGCCTAGAAGAAGATGCATCATCAACCAGTGTACCTGTTAAAAAAAGGAATGAAACCTTTGATTTCAAAAAACGCTGTTTATTTTATGGCGAAAGAGCTGATGCAGCAGCAGAAGCAAAAAAAGAACAGAAGCAGCGACGCCTGATTGATATCGTAAGTACTTTACAATTTAAAGATAATGTTATCAAAAGAGCAGAAGAACGGAACGATTGGTTCGGGGAATTAGTCAAAAATCGTGTACGTTCTGAGTTAAATTTGATCGAAGATGAAGCAATGTACCATACCATTTGCTATGCTATATGTGCTAAGTTCTCGAAGACAGCACCCTCTACAGAGACTCCCCGCAAAAATGTATAAATTACTCTGAAGCAAGTAGGTAATGAGATTTTTCGTTATAGGTATAGAAAATCATGGAGATTCGCAATTCGCATTAAAAGAGCTTAAAGATGTTCTTACGGAGTATGTACCCCATGACGACACTATTTTAGCAAGACTTCAACAAAAATATTTAACTAGTACTTAATTACAAGAAAAGTTGGATCATTTACTATCATATCTTTTCGTGACACACACAGTAATGTTTTATCAAAAAGTTGGTACGAAAAAAAGTAGGTACGCCGGAAGAAGAATGATTACGAATAGTCGAGGCTGCAGCAGCTATTGTTAGGGAACATATTCGAGCATTGGTAGTCGAAATAAGGAACTCTTATGAACTCTTATCCATCTCCGCGTATAATGTTAGATGATATCAATCAAGAAATACCTAAAACTCGATTGCATTTTTTGGACGAAGTCATAATGAAAAATAGAAGAAGGAGAACTGATCATTTGAAAACATTATGCACATCGATAAGTCATGGCTTCAATAAGAGAACGATCATTTTCATCACAGCTACAAATTAGGACTTTCAGTATTTCTTCAGAAAATATGTATCCAAGCGTCTATAAGATGTTTTATCTACATAGCTTGGGATTTGCAGCTTCCTAATCATACTGTACATCATGAAGTGTCAGTAGTGTACCATCCGCCACCTCGCATTTTAGCGTCAGAGTCAGGTGCCCTAGTACAATATGTTGGCAACAATGCAGACCTAAATGTCCAAACGCTTGATTTTACTCTGCATGTTATGGAAATGAATAAGATTGTTACTCCAAAAGAAGCTGTTATTTACGATGAACGCATACAAAAATGTACAACGAAACCAAGTGCCAAAGATTTGGCATCAATATCACATGTATCTCTTATAGCATATGAAAAACCAGTCGTGTCAGTATACAGCAATATGAAGTCGAAAATCTGCATGATGATCTAGCACGAACCGAAAGGATGCAGTTGATTGTTTGTGGTTATACGGAAAGTGGCGGAATATTGCACCATTGGTAGGATGGAATGGATGTCTTGAAAAGCTAACAAAAAATAATCGCAATTTTTCAACGTCTCAGGTTATGTTTCTTCCTTTTATTGATAATTCTGACAGCAACTTAGACAAGATTTATACCACTTTACATCGCGCCATGAACCTTGCCAAGTCACGTCACATTACCAAAAAACGT